AGTACACCTTCATCAAAAAATCATCCTATGTTGTGTCGGTTTCTACTTTTGTATTCTTCAGCATATATACACTGGCTAACATACTTAAGATGCAGTAGTAGATCAGTCTATATTGATGTCATAAACAGTAACATTAAAAGGTGGGTAGGCTCCATGCTTAAGGAATAAATAGATAAAGGTACAGCATGCAAGGTCGGCTTCCCGTCCCCCTTATATTCTGATTTCCCCGGTGGAGAGCCCGTAGGCAGGTTAGATCACTTACCTGCCATAAGGTACAAAAATCTCCATAGGCGAACTTCTTTCACAAACTAGGTTATCCATAGAAACGAAAAGCAAAGTCCAGTGGACGATGTGTTTGGTTTATAGTAAAGGGAAGGATTTATTTAGGAGTGGGAAGAGAGACAGAGTTAATTCCTTCAATCCTACTTCCAGGTCCGCTCCTGTAATGTCTATTGCTGGTTTTATTGTAGGTGGGAGCCACTAAAGTCGTGTTCGCTTATCACACTGACGACCCCATGTCAGAAACGTACATAAAACATCACACGTAGGAGCTCGAACTATACTCCTGCTCAACAGCGTGGATAAAAGAAACATCAATGAAACTGGCTGGAACGAGTTCACTCTGACTGGAGAGAACGTAAGAAATTAAATTAGCCTTCTTCACTTAGAAGACTTTTCTGCATATGTTGGATTTTATGGACGTTGTAGTTATTCACCTTTTGCAGTGTCACGTTTTCAGTAGTGAGTCAAACCAGTTTTTTAGTGGGTGTGTTCGCAAATTCGACTGAATTTGGCTAAACTTAAACACTTAATTGTTCAGCTAAAATTGAATACCAATTCAGGCATATTACCTTAAACACTTGCAATAACAAGTGGATTGTGACATCTATCTATTTTTTAACAACTTAACCAGAATTTTTTCCTTTGTAGGTAACAATCCCAACAAAGGAAACAACCTAATGGTGTTCACTGGTCAAGGGTCCTGAGTTAAAAACCTAGCATCACCTTACAAAGGTATTAGCAGTTTGTATACATTATTTGTTTTCGTTAGATTCTCCAGTATATGTACGGCCGACCGTAAAGATTTGTCATCAAGAACTTTTTGGGGGTACCTCTAAAAGAAATGGGAAGGGTGGGCAAGGGGGTAAGAAGGGGCTTTATTCGCATCAGAAATCAGCAAACTCAGTTTTGAAAGATTGCGCAAAGTTAGTTTCTCCTGAAGAACACACCTCCTGTCCACAAATAGTATACACGGTGTACATGTATAGATTGGTTTGGTTTGTAACAAAAGGTATGGTGGGAGGGTGGGTTGGTACAACACTCGCTCCTAGGCTACTCTTAGCTAGCTTTCCGCAGTGAACTGTATCTAGGTAACACCCCAACCAATATTACTTGGGACCTATACTTTTTTCTATTCCTGAGTAGACGATAAAGAGTAATACCATAAAGCCCCATAAAAGCTGGACATTTTTCTCTCAACATGCATTTCTTCTTCACCTATATATGATACACGCATTAATATTTTATCGTTTTTCAGTTCGAGCCTTTCGTACAAAAAGGAAACGAAGGTTTTGTCCATCATTTACTGCTACACGAGTGCGAAGGTGACTTTACCGACAAAGACTTCGATCAGGGAGTTGATTGTAAAGATGTTGCTAACATGTCGTATGCTAAGTGTAAAGATGCCAGTATCGTGGCTGCCTGGGCTGTTGGAGGAGAGGTAAGAAGTCGAACTATGAGGGAATTCAGTGCTCTAAATCGCGAACCTTTCCTCACCAACGCTTGTCGTAGCGGTGTGTCCTTCGGCAAGAAATTCAGTTTTTCTCTCATCCACTTTTGCCGCGCGTAATTCGCTGAACATTTTCATTCGCTTGTTTTACCAACGGAGTATTTCTGATGTTTTTTTTTCTTAAAGCTAGAAGCGTTATTTTTTCTCTGTTCTTGGAAAAAATAAAATGACCTTAAAAATCTGTCTTCAAGCCTAGGACAGAAAAGCCCGGTTGATCCCGCTATTTCGAACTCTCAAGATATCACGAAAAATAGTTTGTAACAGCGGGAGTTGATTAGTTACCAGTTGTCAGTTAAGTTTTCAGCGATTTCTCAAATTGTAATTTCAGTTTTCAGCTATCGGCTAAAATTGCGTCTTTCCTCAGCTAACAGTTAAATTTTCACCAATTCTCAGCCGTCCGTTAAACCCCATCCAAACCCTAGCTCTGTACCCACCTACTTTCAAGATGGAAAGAAGTAACCCATTTCAGTGTTGCGTTGAAAAGATAAGTTGGAAGAAGTGAATTATGAAAGAATAATAATGGACATATGACAACAAACACTTGCGTTCCAAAAACTCGCTTCAAAGTTAGAAGAGGAAGGGAAAGAAATAAGTCCTTTAATTTGACTGGACTAACCATACTGATTGCGTTCTCACCAGGGGTTTTATTATCCGTCCCATGCTGGATTCCCAATTGGAGCAGATGATGTAGCGAAGAATCTTTTGCTAGAAATGCATTATGACAATCCAGACAACGTCGCAGGTAACTTGAAACGCTTTTGTTGCAAAGGTTTCAGGTTGTAAAGGTTTATCACACCTCGTGACCTTCAGAAATGCTCTAGTCTCTGTTCATTTTCGTGATTCTCATTAACACAAGTACATGATCGACTGAGCCAAGTGAGGAAGTACGTGACTAAGTCGTACATCTTTCTGTAACTCGATAGAAAAAAAAAGAACTATCATACGATGCTTTTATAGGTGAGCATATGAAAGCTCGAGCAATTAAGGATTTGCACTCCGAGTGATCATGATATTTGAAAATTCTCTCAAAATTGCGCGAGCGTTTGGGCGAATGCAATTTAAAAGAATTTTCAAATATCACGATATACAGTGTAAATCTTTAATTGGTCGAGCTTTCATACGATAACACGCTTATTATATCTCTGAGAAAATTACCAAAGTACGCCTGTTAATTTGCACTGCAGAGCAAATTAGAAAAGTGAAGCCTTGGAGCCGACTGGCTCATAGCTACCGGAGCTTATCCCGGCTTCTGTAGCATGAAGCGGCTAGGAGTATTTCTACTCCCCCTGGACGGGATGCTAGTCCATCGCAGGTCACTCCCCCGCAGTTTGTTAGGTTTCCCCAACAATTCGCTCGTATCCATTTATACTCCTTAACCCGGACCGCTCGATCCGGGGACGAGCGCATTAAGCATGAGAGCACCGTGATGTACACCGAGCTTAACGATAAATTGGCCTGCTCTCAGCCAGTCAAAATGAAGTAATTTTCTCAGTCATGCAACGAACCTAACAATTGCAGCTCTCGTAAAGAAAATTTTCATTTTATAAACATAGCACAGGAGTGATGTTCTTTTTTTTCTCCTCGCGGCCTTTTCCCGAAAGAAATAGTAAACATTTCCTGTGTGTACTTCTATCGAGTTATTGAAACTCTCCCGATTGCGAAAGTTTGAAGGTTTAGGAAATTGCGGGAACACTTGCCTGCAGCTCGTGATCCTACGGCATTTCTTATTATTCCAAACCTCCCCTTCCAAGAGGGGAATAACTCAGTCTAAAACTGAACGATGCATTACCACTATTTATTTAGGTAGAGTTGACAGCTCTGGTGTCCGTATCTACTACACCGACAAGCTTCGGCAGTTTGACAGTGGAGTTGTATCAGTGGGAGTAGCGGTTAATCATTGGCACATTATACCGCCAGAACAGAAACAGTGGATGTCTGTTGGTTACTGCACGGCAAAATGTACAAATGTAAGTATGGGCGTGTCTTCTCCAACAAAGCGTCCATCAAACTCTCTCGGCGCATCATGTCTCATGTGGAGCCGAGTCAAATATGAGTACAGATTTTGCACAACATCTCTGTAGCTCAGTGTGTTTTTCCTTCTTTTGTTGCTCTTTTCTGCCAAATCTAAGGAGGCGCTGTGGCCCTTTGGCTCGTACGCTTGACTCCGGATAGAGCGGTCCAAGGTTCAAGCCCTGGCCGAAGCGACTAGGGGTATTTATAGTCCCCGCTGGGTTGGATACTAGTCCAGCGCAGGGTTACCCTCAGCATTAAGTTCGCCGGTACCCATCTTGCCCAAGAACACGATGTGCCCCTCTCTACCCAGGTGTTTAAACGGGTACCGGCGAATTTAATGCTGGCCGAGGAGCGGGGTAACCTAGTGATGGACAAGCATCCCACCGAACCGGGGAGTACAAATACCCCTAGTCGCTTCATGCTACACGCGTACCGGGATAGGTACCGGCCTAATGAGAAACTTGATACGTATGCAGACTTTACCTTTACCCTCTACCATGCAAATCTGTTAAATAACAACCAATTGCTGAAAACCTGGGAACCTTTCCTTGAAACCTTGAAGCGCGTTCGAAGACAAATGTATATGTATGTTGTCGCGTTATTTCCGTCAGCACCGTCATTCTATATCACTGCATTCAGTTGAGCAGTCGGTGGCTGNAAAAAAAAAAAAAAAAAAAAACAATAAATGAAATGAATGCGATACGAATACCAATATGAATAAACTAAACAGCCAACTTATTATTATTATTTTTTTATTTCAGTCAATTATGAAATCAACGTCGTTACCTGGAGGTGGTGTCAACGTATTTGCTGCTTTGCTGCACACTCACTTGGCTGGTAATACAATTATGGACACTGAGTTAGGAACAAAAAACTAGCTAGGAAGCAACTCGCTAAAATCGCTTCAGATCAGCAGACAAAGCAAACAGACAATAAGCAATACACAGAGGAAGTAAGATAAGGCATTTTTATCAAGAGCTCTCCACGGTTTCTATCTCTAGTCCAGTTCCTGAACTCTCCCTTCTCCGCGCTATATAGGGGTTGAACCCAGGTTGTGAAGAAAAAGTTCAAGATAACTTGCATGCGCATGCTCAGAACACTACCAATTCAACCCCTCCCCCTCCCCAAATCGGGGAAAGAACATATACAGAAAAACTTGTGGAAGCGTGCGCGCGCCGAGTGACCATGCACTGTAAAATTACAACATGAAATACCCACACAACCTTCCAAAAGCCTACCCTAGCTAAAAACGTACGGCTGATACAGTAATCATTAGCTGTCATCTTCAAATCACCCTATTAACGGTGGAAACTCGTTCTAAGTACTTACTTTCAAACTTACATGCTTAAGTTCAAATGGCTCGCTCAAACGAGGGAATTGCGACATCTATGTTTAGCAGTTGACAATAAATTTATTTGGTATCGGTTCGTCGCGTGGCAAATGTTTGAGAGTGTTTCGACATTTTCCAGCGTTTTAGTGCATATTTATTATTAACTGAATTTTGACACAATTCACGACAGTTTTTCTTGCATTTTAGTATCGATTTTGGTCGTGTAGTTCAATATGCCGAATTCTTCAGTTGAACGACGATTTTAACCCTAGCGTGCTCGTCGACACCACACTCAGATGACACCGCGGAAATACGTTTTTTGACGTCACCGTAACTGGTCAGTGGTCATCACCATCAGGCTGTGCTGTCCTTCGATCGATCAGTTCTCCGAGATCAGTATTTTGGTTCGGTTTAAGGTCGAAAATATCCTTGATACTTCTCGTTATTGGTGAGTTTGACGTCCTTAAATGGGTTTTTAANGCGCCGAGTGACCATGCACTGTAAAATTACAACATGAAATACCCACACAACCTTCCAAAAGCCTACCCTAGCTAAAAACGTACGGCTGATACAGTAATCATTAGCTGTCATCTTCAAATCGCCCTATTAATGGCGGAAACTCGTTCTAAGTACTTACTTTCAAACTTACATGCTTAAGTTCAAATGGCTCGCTTAAACGAGGGAATTGCGACATCTATGGTAAACAGTTGACAATAAATTTATTTGGTATCGGTTCGTCGCGTGGTAAATGTTTGAGAGTGTTTCGACCTTTTCCAGAGTTTTAGTGCATACTTATTATTAACTGAATTTTGACACAATTTGCGACAGTTTTTCTTGCATTTTAGTATCGATTTTGG